AAAAGAGGAGGGGGATGGGGAGTAGGGAAGAATTTAGAAGGCTGGATTTGATCAAAACATATGCAGGTATGGAATTCTCAAAAAATAAAAATTTGGGGCAATTAACCCAGGTATATTTCCTCACACAGCACTGAACTATGCTGAAGAGCAAAATCACCATAAGCCCATAATGAATGTCAGGTAGAGGCTTTTCACAGAGGTACAGGTTACCGACTGCAAAACCTCCTAGGGTTAAGCAAAAGTATCATACTTCATGACAACCAGAGCTCCTCTCATCCATACAAAGAGAGGCAGAGCCAGAGTAGAGCTCATTTAGAGGGCTTGTCTAGCATCATGGCCCAGGGTACAATCTGCAACACCACATTGTAACATGAGGGCCGGCTTGTTGGGGTTTTTGTCCGGCCCAATTCCCCATAGCCAGCATGCCCCAAAGAAAATAACACAGAGGACTCCATAAGATTATTAACTGATTGGCCCATTAGCTCAGGCTTGTTATTAGCTCTTATCACTTATATTAACCCATTATTCTTATCTATGTTAGCCATGTGGCTCAGTACGTTTTTCAGCCAGGCAGATTACATGTTGCTTCTTCAGAGTCTGGGCAGGAGTGGGAGGAATCAACTTCCTCCTTCCCAGAATTCTCCAGTTCTCATTGCATCATTTCTACTTCCTAACTGATTTTCCCACCTATACTTCCTGCCTGGCCAATCAGTGTTTATTTAAAACATGATTGACAGAATACAAGAATACAAACAATTCTCCCATACCACTTCCCCCTCTTTAAAAAAAAAAAAAGGAAACTATCCATAGTCCATTTTTTGGGAATGTGGGCGTAGTATTCCAGGATACTTCCTGCTGGTTGGGGGCGCTGATAATCTTATGGGGACCTAAAGAAAATTTAGAGTTATTATCAAGTCCTGTGAGTCATGATCATCTCAGGCAGCAGTGTTGAACCTGTTCTGGATGAAGAACTCAGACATCTGGGCCACCTATCCTGCTGGAGATTTCTCAGGTGGTCTTCCTTGATCAAACTGGATTTTTCTTAACTCAGAATGAATCCACAGCCTCTCATTTTCTGTGGAAACAAAAGCAAAATCTCTTCTCCAAAGTAACATATCTTTTGACTTCAATTTGGAAGTCAAGGTATTTTCAAAATACCCATCTTGGATTAATTCAGCAGCATTTATAAGCAAATATCTTTTAGCAGCTGATGCTCCTTCCTCAGCATTCAAACAATTCAAAGAGAGCATAATAGCATACAGTATCAAGATTCTCTGTGTATTTTCCATCTTTGTGCGGCCTTATTTTAACCTCTATTTCTTTTATTTTTACTTTTATTTTTTGAGACAGGTTCTCTGTACATCTTTGTCCTGGAATTAGCTCTGTAGACCAGGCTGTCCTTGAACTCACAGAGACCCCATCCATCTCTGACTCCCCAGTGCTGGGATTAAAGGTGTCTGCCACCACACCTTAAATTTACAGAGGTCTGTGTGCCTCTGCCTCCTAGGCTTTGGGATTAAAAGCATGTGCTACCACACCTTGAACTCACAGAGATCTGTCTGCCTCTGCCTCCCAGGCATTGGGGTTATAGATGTGTACCACCATACCTTTTTTTTCACTTTAAGAATTTTAACCTTTAGCCTGCATATATTTTTAACACACTATAAGCCATTTAGAGGTTTTCTTCATCTTTGAATCCCTCTTTACTGTATATCTCTCTTTTCCTGACCACATGAGTATTTATGAAGAGGATTAAAGCCGTGGCTTTGATGGTTGGATCCAGCCCATTCCTTAGCTTTCTAGCCTCGTGGTGGAGGTACCGGCTATAGCCATGTTTATCGCCACAACTCTATGGCATTTCAAGGTCCCTGCCAGCAAGCAAGCTGCAACAGTATGTCCACAGACAACACTCAAGTCCTCTCTGTAGCTGGCCCTCCTGCCTCAAAGAGTCAAGAGTTTTCACTGGCAGGACAGCCCAGAAAGCTGGCATTTTTAAACGGTGCAGCTTTTTTTCCTGCTATGGCTAAAAACTGAAAAGCATGCCTTCAGCTTTTCATCAACACCACTTAAGTGTTTTGTGGCAGGACCTCTTAAAAGAGCTGCAGGGTTTTGCAGCTAAAGCTGAGTCAGGAAGCCTCTCTTAGATGAGAGTGCTTGCTTGCCTCTAGCAAGCAGAGCAGACCCGGGGAGTTGCTGCTACCAAGAAAACATGCTTTACTCTATCCTTTCCCAAGCTTTCTCAGGCTTTCTGTGGAAGCAGTTATCCATGTGGGCGCCATTCTCCACATACACTCAAGGTCATCTTTAGCTAGTTTGAAGTCAGTCTGTAATGCATGAGACATTATTTCAAAAAACAAACAAACAAAAAACCAAAACAACAACAAAAACAAAAGAATAAAAAAGAGTGAAGTCTTGAGACTTACTTTAAATCTGTGAGGTATGAGTGTGAACTGATGCTAACTTTTAATCCACACTGAATAGACAGCTATCAATGTATGTGAGAATATGCTTTTTCTAAATGTGTCTCATATGTGTATATGTGCATGTGTTGTCATATCAGCTGAGGCCTAGAAGCAGTGAAACTCCAGTAGCAACAAACATACATCATGATTTCCAAATGCTAGTCTCCAAACAATATATCTCCTTCACGAAACGGCTGTTGTCAAGGTTGGGAAGAATGGAATATAAACATCTTTCGGTGCTAGAAAGCGAGGAAAGCTCCCAATGCGAACCTGCACAGCAGAAATCTCAGGGATCAGCTCCCAGTGGCTAAAGTGACACAGCTTTAGCAGCAATGTATGGGCTCCGAAAGATTCCCAATGATAATAGCATAGCACTTGAAGAGGCTATTTATAGCAGAAAACCAACAAAGAACAACAGGATTGCAAAGTCATTTAGGTTCCATCCTAGAAAAAAGGTAAGAACTTCCGCTAAAGGCTAACTTGTGGCTAGATGTTTGAGGAATAACAAGAATTATTTACAAAACCTCACAATATAACTTAAAGGGGTTGGAAAGATGACTCTGGATAAAACATTTGCTTAGCAAGTATGATGGCCTGAGTTCAAACCCTCAGCACCCACATAAATGTTAAGTATGGCTAAATATGAGTGTATGCCTGTAACCCCAGCATTGCAGGAAAAGGTGGGGGTGGTAGGCCTTGGAGCTTGAGGTCAGTCAGCCTAGTCAAACAACCTTAGGAAGCTTCCATGTCTCAAGGGAATAATGAAGAACAGTACAGAAGACAGCCTGTTTTGCACATGGGTACACTTACCTGAACACAAAAGTGCACACACAAGCAGATACCATCACCCACTAATTCAAACACAAATAAAAATATAATGTATAAATGGAGATGTGTAGTGGAGTAACCTGATGAGCTTGCCCTTAACTAAGTGATCAACATTATTCTGAGACAGATGGGTGGCCATGGCACAAAACATCCTTCGTGTGGAACTTCTGTAAAACAGGCATGAACTAAATAGGAATATATTGCACACAGTGACACTAAACAAAATAACTGGCCTATACTCTTTAAATATTGAGCTCATGAAAAACAAAACCCTTAGGGCTGGGAAGGAGACAGTGGTGGAGTGCTCATGCAGCATTCAGGAGGCTCTAGGCTCAATCCCCATGATCATCAAGGAAAAAAAGGAAAGAAGGAAATAAAGAAAAGGAAGGAAAGAGAGAGAGGGAGAAAAAAGCAAGCAAGCGTAAAGGATGAGTCAAGATGAAAAAAGTAGGCAACTAAGGAGATATGGCAATTAGAATTTTGTTTTGCTGTAAATAACATTATTGGTGCTATGGAGATCAGAATAAGACGCTAGTTTAATTTTCATTGATTTTTTTGGAGAGAAACATACTAAAGTACTTGGAGAAATGGGCATATATGTCTTATATTTTTCTCACTGCTAAAACCAAAGTACTTCAAGAGAACTGTGCAAGCAATGGAAACAGAGAGGAAGAGCACCTTCATCTCAGGGTAGAGGGAAACAGGCAGGAGGGATACAAGTAAAGCTGAAGTAAGTAGATCCCTGAGGAACTTGCCCCCAGAGACCTACTCCTTCCATCTAGACCTCACCTCAAGCTTTTTTCCAGAACCTTCCAATATAGTACCAAACTTTCAATACATGACACTTTATATCCAAAGCATAGCGGCATGAGTATAAATGGATCAAAAATAAAAGGGATGTAAATGTGTGTGAATACCACACAGGCACACAGAGAAGCACTGACAGGGAAGGGGCAGAAAACATAAGCGTTACATATGAGGGGTTGGTATATAAAGGAGCTCTGTGCTTGTTTTACAAGTTCCCTGTACATCTGAAACTCTATCAAAACTAACAGAAAGAACAAACATCTCAAAGAAAACCAAATGCTTCAAAAAAGCAGAAACAAAGACATGAAATTTGTCTTGCCACTTTAAATAATAAGACACTTTCTACGGCTTAACTAGCAGTAGAACATTTAAGTGACAAACTTGGTGACAGAGACTGAAGAACACAGTACTTCACACTTTGTACTTAGATGATGAACTAAATAAAGACCACATTCCTGGAGGAAAACAACCTGATAAGACAGAATAAGAGCCCCAAGGATGTGGAGGGTGCAGTGACCCAGTCTACAGACCATGCATATGGTATTATAACACAAACAAGGTCACTGCAGCCTTTATATAAAATACAGAAAACTGGGAAAACTCCAGCACAGAAGTATTTAAGAAAACTGAGCTATAAATCTCAGTAATAATACTCAATACACTAGTAAACACCGGCAAGTGCTCATAACAGAATAACACAATAAAGAAAAAAATGTGAGAAAACTATTTAAAAAAGAAAACAAAGCAAACTGACAAGAGTCCATGGGATGATGATATCAATGAGCTCTCAATTATTCAATAAATATGTTATTGTAATACAGAGCAATATCCAAATACTACAAGACATGCTCAGTTACTGCATTGACATTTCTCCTCTCAGAGACAAGGAAAAGGCAGGATGAGTAATATATACAAATAACTTTATTGTTTTTAAGGATCTATATTGGTGTATCTGTGAGTTAGGTGCTCTGCCCATATCCAGTAGAGGAAAGGTTACAAAAGATACGTAAGAAATATTCACATAGAAATCCTGGGAGGAAGAACGTCCTTTTGGAAAAAACAAGTGCTCCACATAAATAAGAGGGCTGCGATAGTGTTTTAAGACTCAAGAGCCTCCCACGGTGCTGAGGTATAGTGACTGACAAGGAGCTTGCCAGCTTCTTTCGTGTCCGCTATTCACTGAAGTCTCATTCGTTTCTCAGGGGGACCTTTAGTGCTCACAGTCTGCTGAGCATTCTTCGTGCTCTCCTTCTCCTCGGATTTCACAGTTTCTGGTAGAGGCTCTGCCTCTTTCTTTGTCTGATCCACTAGCCATCAAAAGCAGTATTTGACAAAACGAAGGTGGAAGGAGAAATAAACACTGGTCAGTACTTACGGTTTACTCTTTTAAATTCATTTTGAATTGCTTATAAAGTTGAATATTTAGTTGTTTTCTCAGGCAAGCATATTTTAAAATTAATTTATAAGCCTAAATATTAATTAAATAATGCTAGCCAAACACATAGTATTAAAATAAGACATCATGTGTGAACAAGCCACAAAACCCGACTCTACGGCAACTTATCAGACAGCTCAACACCTGTTATTGATGATGAAACCTACCATCAAGTCACTGCGGCTTCTTTGCCCTTCCCCTTCTACCTAAACTCTACTTTTAAATGCTAGTATCGCTACCACAGAAACACTAAGTGCTAGCAATTCAAAGGAGTTCAAAGGTTAGGGGTGACAAACAATAACGGAACAGCCTAAAAAGACAAAGTAGCCACAGCTCATCTCACAGGCAGTTGCTGTTAGAACATTACACAGGCTGCTTGATCTCACTTCAAGTTCAGTAAGAACAGCAGATGAACCATACCTGGGACAGGCTTTTCTCCAGACTTTTGCTAGGATTTGAAAAACAGGAAATGGGGGAAGGAGAAGGAAAAGTCAAGTTAATGTTTCTTCTGAATTGTATAGTTTTAAATGACATACTTATGTAACTGCATAGTAAAATGACTTCATAAAGGACAATTATCATTTCCCTTGTTCTATCTTCAAGAACAGTTTATGAAATTTCTCTAAGCTAGCTGGGCAGTGGTGGCACACACCTTTAATCCCAGCACTTGGGAGGCAGAGGCAGGTGGATCTTTGTGAGTTTGAGGCCAGCCTGGACTACAAGAGCTAGTTCCAGGACAGGCTCCAAAGCTACAGAGAAACCCTGTCTCAGAAGACAAAAAAAAAAAAAAAAAAAAAAAAAAATTTCTCCAAGCTAACTTTCTGATCTCATATTCCAACATTTGCCTCTTCACCTCTTCACGATCACATAAGCATTATTATAGTAACATCCTTCACTACCTTTAAAATTCCCTCAATCCTTCATAACAATAATCAACACGTCTATGAAAATATACATTTCCACAAAGGAATTCTAAATTCCAGAATAACTGACATTAACATGGCCATGCATTCCATTTCCCAGTTGCTTGACTTCAAAAGCTCACGTGGTAGAATGGCAGGTGGATCTGCTACTAGACTACTTCTAAATCACTAAGTGGCATTACAGACTTTTAACACAGTGATAAGAGAACTCTATTACTACCTCAGCTTCCTCTCCTGACCATGCCAAACCCTCTACCACTTTCTATTCCTTCCGCTCATAGTCTTAACCCATTAACCTTTAAGAGCCTACATGTGATATATATTAGGCTGGGAATGCAGCAAGCAGAATAGAGAGCATGAGTTTCATATATGAGGTTTGTTACAACCAATTATTCTTTCAGCAACCTATGGATGAGAATATGATCTAAACACAGACCTCAATGCTCATATAGATTCAATAAGGAACAGAGAACAATGCTAAATGCATTCCTTTTACCCATTATCTCCATTAAGTCTTTTTAAACAATTCCTTCAGGGGTAATTCTTTTGCTAATAAAAAAAACCAATAGTTTAAAATTATACTTAAAAGACTTTCCAATTAAAAATGTGTCAAATCAAAATTCATAACACATTCTTATTACCTGAACAAATCTGGGAGGGAATTTTTGTCTGAGGTCAACAAGTAAAGCATCCACACGCTGTCTCTGAAAAATAGAGCTCGGTTCTTCTTTCCTTTTGGCTTTAGGTTTGACTTTATCTAATGAAATATAAAATCCAAATCAACATACTGAAATACTCAAACCATTATTTTAATAACACCTTTACTAAGACAACTCTTCAAATAAAACACAGCAAATATAAAAAAGAAGTTCCTAACTCTCCTTTACAAATGATGTTAAATTCTCATATTTCAAAAGCTGACATACCCCTCTCTTTTCGGTATTCAAGACAAGGTTTCTCTGTCACTTTGGAGCCTGTCCTGGAACTCCAGGCTGACCTTGAACTCACAGAGATCTGCCTTTCTCTGCCTCCAAGTACTGGGATTACAGGTGTGCAACACACTGACATGGGAGGTGATGTATGCTATGAGTATGTTTTATTGCCATTACTTAATAAAGAAGGAGCTATGGGCCAATGGCTTAACGGAGTAAAGCCAGGCTGAAAGAGATATATAGAGAGAGTAGGCAGAGTCAGGGAGAAGCCATGTAGCTGTCACAGGAGACAGACGCATCTGCCGGAACCCATAGAAACTTTGCCAGTAGGCCGTGACCTCATGGCGATGTACAGATTAATGAAAATGGGTTAGTTTAGGATATAAGAGCTAGCTAGAAATACGCTTAAGCTATTGGTCAAACAATATTGCAAATAATATAGTTTCTGTGTGATTATTTGGGGTCTGAGCAACCAGGAAGGAAGGAACAGTGGCTTCCGACCACACCACCGCCTGGCCACACCTGTCTCGTAAAAGATATTTCAGTTTCAGTATTTAACACTAACATTTAACACTGAAGGACAAACAGTTCTGAGGTTAGCATTCTTCATAATTACCTAAATAACAATACATACTGGCTTGAATGAGTATTTTAAGTGTACTGAATGATTTGCTGTGCAATCTACTAAGGACAAATAGAAAAGACAGGTTTTAGTTACTATGCTCTGTTATAAAGACAGTAATTAAACCAAACAAGAGAACTAGGAGTTAAAGGTCATCCTTAGCTATATAGCAAGCTCAAGGTTGACCTGCCTAGACTACACAAGGTCTGCCTCAAAAGACTGCAATTAGCTAGGGATGGTGATGCATATCTTTGTTCATCTTAGCACTTGGGAAGACGAGACCAGGAGAATTAAGGGTTCAAGGATACCCTGGGCTCCATAGGGAGAGATTTTCTAAAACACATTCATTTATTCATTCCCATTCTCTCTATGAAAAAAGCTAAACATTGTACTGAAAGGGAAAATTAGAAAACAAGATCATGAAGGCAAGCATAAAAAAGAATAATGATAGGGGGCTGGAGAGATGGCTCAGTGGTTAAGAGCACTGCCTGCTCTTCCAGAGGTCCTGAGTTCAATTCCCGGCAACCACATGGTGGCTCACAACCATCTGTAATGAGGTCTGGTGCCCTCTTCTGGCTTGCAGATGTACATACAGACAGAATATTGTGTGCACAATAAATAAATAAATAAATAAATAAATAAATAAATAAATAAAATTTTTTTAAAAAAAGAATATGAAAGAAATTCTGAAGTTACATGTGTCATCTGCTCTGGCAGAGAGAACAGGGGTAGGGGGTGGATGTAGGGACTGTCTTTACATGAAGGATTCCAAGTGACCATGCTCTAGACATCATAAGGTGGGTATAATTGCCCCTGGGTCAACTTTACTCCATTAAGGCACACTTTCCTACAACAAACAGTACTGCCTATACCCAATATTAAGAATCAAAGTAACTGTATCTGAAGGCCACTACACAGCTCTGAATACTACATAAAGGCCATCTTTCCTACACTTTATTATTCTCAAAAAAAGAAAATAAACTGATACAAACACATTTCTGGGCATAGGATTTTGGTAAAAACAGGGCAAAAGAACAGTCATTGATTAGTATTCATAAGAACTAAAGAACCTAGGGTTATGACAGGTGCTAACATCCAAGAATTAGAAAGTCACCTAGGGTCAGTGAGAGATACAGTGGACAAGGCACTGTACCTGAGACCTGAGTTTAATCCCAAAACACACATTAAAGGTAGATGTAGCATGAATTTTAATTGGTATTAACAATAAAAATCCAGAGTCAGATATAGGGGTTAATGCTAAAAGATCAGAGAAGCAGAGCTAGTTCTTACCTCTACCAAATCCTCAGACTGAATAGGTGATCCTGTCCCTAGGAATTCTCAGATGGAATGCTGTCTCTACGAAACCTCAGACTGAATGCTCTGAGCTCCTGTCTCCTCTCACCTCCTCCTGCCTTATATTCCTCTCTGCCCAGCCATATCACTTCTGTCTCCACCTCCCTAGTGCTATGTCCTAAGGCCTATGATCCAAAGTACTGGGATAAAAAGGTATGAGCTCTCTGTTCCTCTTTGAAACTGGATCAATCTAGTGTAGCCCAGGGTGGCTTTGAACTCAAGAGATCTGTCTGCCTCTGCCTCCCAAGTGCTGGAATTAAAGATGTGTGCCACCGTTGCCTAGACTCTATGGCTAAACTAGTGATTTAGTGCTGTGAGAATCCATTCAGCCAATAGCTGTTTGGGTACCAGCCCACTAGGGTGTGGGCTGAGGTAGTATAAACACAGACGGAAAGCAAAAAGTGTGTCGTCTCTCTCTGTCTCTCTCTCAGCTGGTGGTCCGTTCACAGCTCCCAGCATCCACAGAACAGAGGACCATAGCATCTTTCTTATTTTGAGTGTTCCCTAATAAACATTTGTTATCCTTTATTATGGGCTCTTGGGGACCTCGAACACCTACAGCTTAGCTCTGCACTCTGATCTTCAGGCAAGCTTTATTTGTTAGATCACAAACAAAATATCACCACAGGTGGATACAGAAAACCAACTACAGAGTTGTCCAATATCCACACATGGAACACAAGCTTACAGGCACATCACACACTTACTCACACACACAGATACACGCAATGTCAAAAGACAATCAGCAAACTCCCTGATCAAACAGGGATATAACTTGGGAGTAAGTGCTTGCCTAGCATGCTTAAGACCCTGGGCTTAATCCTTAAAACAAAAAGGAAAAAGAAGGGAGGGGGAGAAAAGGAGAGAACACAGTCTGGCCATCTGAAGAAAGGGCACCAAGAATAGTATCTCATCTCCTGACTTTGAAGACTAGAGGGCTCAACGGTTCCAAATTCCAAGGCAAACCAAGAAGTAAAAAATACCTTTGCTCACTCATCACCAGTTTCTCCTCGTTATGTGCCAAATATTTGAAAACTTTACATCTTTTACAAAGCTTATGGACATGTGACCTCATGGGCAAAACTAACAACTGTTCTGATGTCACTATCACTGCACCTATGACATGAACACAGGGGCAGTAATGCCATCATCTGAGAGATTAAAGCCTATCTCAGTAATGTCGGCGCAAACTGTTTTGGGGGGGCCTAGGCACTCTACTTACCTTGCTCTTCATGATCTTTGAAGTGCCACCAATACCCTTTGGAAGGATGATAGCGACAGTATGACATAGCTTCATCAAAAGCTGACTGAATACCATGTACTGCAGTGAGCTTGGAAAACAAAACAACAACCAACAAATTCTAAATCTCTCATGAGGTCGAGTAAAATGTCCTAAGTAAATATAAAATATTACATATGCAAAGCTAATAATTCCGTTTTCAGAATCTAGATTACCATTTGACTGGAGTTGTAAATAGCCATATCCCTTATATAAAATAATTAGCATTTCTATGTAAACTATGAATTCTCCAATAGTCTTTAAATCACCTCTAGATTACTTACAAGCATAAGTACTGTACAAATAGCTGTTACAATGTATTGTTTAGGGAATAATAAAAAGGGCAACAAAAATAATAGCAGAGGTGCAGTTTTCTTCCAAGTGTTTTTATGCATATTACTAATGATGTGGAGCCTACAGCTCTTCAGACTCTATGTATTATCATTGACTTGACCCAGAGTAAGTGCTCAAAACCCTCTAACAGTCAACATTTTATACCAGCTTACACAAAGCAGAATAGGGTATCTCGTTTAGAAGTTTGCATTCATGTCCAAAGAATGTAGAAAAAAATAACCAACGTGTACAGGCACACATCTGGAATCTTAGGACTTAAAAGATGGAGGCAGTAGGACCAGGGGTTTAAGGCCATCTTTGGACACATAATGAGTCCAAGGCTACTGTCTTAAAGAAAAAGATAAAATAAGGGAAGGGAAGGCAAAGGAAAAGAAAGGAAGGGAAAGGAAGGGAGGAGGAAGGAAGGGGAAGAGAGGGAGGAGAGAGGAAGGGAAGAAGAAAAGGAAGGAAGGCAAAGGAAAGGGTGAGGAAGAATAGGCAGGAAGGCAGGTAGGCAGATAGATGTGCAGGTAGGTGAAGACACGTACCACTCTGGAGTTGATCACTGATCCCAAGTCTGGTGCCTGATAGATGACTCCAGCAATGATATAGTAATCAGCCAGTGGGATAACTGAAGCAGCAGGAAAAAATGCTTAGAAACACATCTTGGACACAAACTGCTAAAAAATGGTATTTTCATAGAACAAACTAAACTTTGGCACTTTACTATATGGAACTTTAAGGGAAGACCTTGCAATTTCTCTCCAAGTACACAGTATGGGAAAACAGTCATACTGTTCTTATGTTACCTAGGATTGTTAACAGTTGAGTAGTTCCATGCAGTTCCACCCACAAAGCCTAAAGAGTTTACTCTCTGCACTTCACAGAAAACATACAGGACTTCTCAAATCCCAGGCACATCTGAATCAAGTTTAATCAGTTCAATGCATCTTAAGATTATTAAAATGAGATTATTACTAGGTCCATGTATAGATACATAGCACATTTTAGCAAAGCCAATGCTGTCAGTCAACCAAACCGGGACATAAGACTGAAGAACATGAGAGACTTAAAGACCAGAATGACGATATCTGATGTATACACTTGCCTCCGAGTCCCAGGACTAAGTCCTAAGGACAAAGACAGCTCTACTGAGCTTGATACCATCTTGTGTCATCACTATATCCTGAATGTTCTCAAGGAGCCTTGCTTATTATCTACAGTTCTGTTTTTCCCTATAGAGACTCTATACCTTCCATTTGGAAGGAAGACTTGAATTCTGAACTGTAACTTCTTTGGCAAGTTACTCTCTGGTATCAAAAGGACCCAGGGAAAAGGATGTCCCCCAAGTGTCTTTATGTACAGTATCTACTTGAGAGATGTCTCTCAGCAATACCACCTTGCTTTTCTACTTTGAATAATCTGTTCTGCAGTGAGACTCTTTTAAAAATCTTGAAGTGCCCATCATCACTAAAGTATATGCCTCAGCTCTGATTCAAAAGCAAATCTGAACACATTTACTCTTCAATATTGTTTCCTAAGCAAATATTCATTTGGTAGTAAAACCCAGGTAAGATTTTTGGTTGAATGTGTCATTTGAAGATACTCAGTAGATCCTCTATGGATTTAATAAAACTATATAGGCCATGTCTTTTATAAAGTATTAACTCAGAGACTGAGAGGAAATGAAAGTTATTCAGGAAGCTCAAGGTCCAGTGGAAACTCAACAACCGTGCTCACAGGAAGAGCTGAACTATCTGACTTCCAGTGCTAATAGAGCTTTTGATATACTTCTTAATTGTAGCTACACCTGCATGCCCAACTAAAACATATACCATGAATATGGTGGGAAACTGTTTCCTACTAGGAGTCTTCAATTCTAGTGGGCAGAAAATGCCTAAGTGATCAGTCCTCAAAAAAAGCCTTAGGCTCACAATTTCTAATGGCTTCCTGTTATAGAAATATGTATGATGTATGTAGGTGTATACGTATATGTATGTATAGAATCATCTTATGCTGACTAAAAAGCACGTTTGCTATGGATCCTCAAGAGATATTGACTCCTACAAAGTCTTTTCCTGTAGTTTATCTACTGTGTAGCCTTACCAGGCAACCATAATGAATTCTGGCCATGAGTACAATAGATACTGAGTCTGATGAGTACACCCCTACAAGTACTGGATATATATGTAGTTTATGGGACCTACAGAAACGGAACTCAGTGCAAAAAACAAACAAACAAAAAAGGCCTAACATACCAATTCCTGAATGGTACACCAAAATAAAATAAACCCCTTCTTTAAAAACAAAATAAAGCACACAGGTCAAAAAGTAAACAAACTGTAGTGTCTTGTACCTTGAGCAGGGGACTGCCGCTGTTGCTTCCGAATGATGAAAAGAATGGGCTCTTGGGCATGTAAAAGGATGTATTCAACTCCAACCATCTGACTGAAATGGAGACACAAAGAGATCTATGAATGATTCCTAAAACTTTGTAGGATACTTAAATTACCAAATAAATTACAACAGCAGTGTAAAAAGGGGACTAAAATTGCTTATGATTAATGTTAATAGTTGGCTATTGAATAAAACCAGCTATTTTCCTAGAGAGTTTGATGTGAGAGTCCCCTCTGTATGTTCTGAATATGTTTTATTACCATTGGTTAATAAAGAAGCTGCTTCGGCATATAGCAGGGTAGAATAAAGTCAGGCAGGAAATCCGAACAGAGATATATAAAGTAGGCGGAATCAAGGAGAAAGACACCCGCCAGAACCTTACCTTACTAGTAGGCCACAATCTTGTGGAGATACAGATTAATAGAAATGGGCTAATTTAAGATGTAAGCGTTAGTTAATAAAAAGCTTGACCTAATAGGCCAAACAGTGTTGTAATCAATAAAGTTTCTGTGTGATTATTCGGATCTAGGCGGCCAGGAAACATAAGAGCAGCCTCCGTCTACAACAGTTGGTATATAAACTAAAATGTGGGTTTTTATACAAATTTATACATTTATAAAATCCATAAAAATTCAGGAATTTAAATTTGGTTTAGTAACAATATGCTTAAAACTACAATAAGTTACCTTTAACAGCTATAATTACAGTATAGCAAGAGTTATTTAAAATATAGTAACTAAACATTATAAAACCACTGAGCCATCTCCCCAGCCTAAAACTTTTGGTTTTCCTTCCAAAGGTTTAACAGTGTCTGTCACCAATCACCACACACAGGTAAAATGACCAATCACTGCAAAATCTCTAGTTGGCAAAGGTGTTACCTTCTTAAAACAACTTACTTCAAGTGCTCTAATGTTAGCCTCTGCATCTTGACCACTTCATTATTACACGTCCTGTCATAAAAAGGATTGCTTCTTTCTGAAAAGTAATCTAGAACACTACCACTGTTCAAAATGGGGATCCAAGAGCTATCAACCCAAGAGATTCCCAGCAGGTTATCTACAGGAAAGAAACAAAAGAATTAGAAACAATGAATAACCTAATACAATGAATATCTACTATGTGTTATGAATTAATGATATAGACTCTGCCCTACGTACTCATAGTTTTGGCTGTGAGCCTAGCCTTTAACAGGTGAGCCATCTCTCCAGCCCAGGCCTATATACTCAACAGTCTAACAGAAGACAGAAACATGAAAAAAAGAACACAGTAAGGACTATAGTAAAGTTAGGTATAGACTAATTGTAAAAAGGCAAATGGAGGAACAAAAACACTTTCCAGAGGAAATGAAAATTACTTTTTCATGGGGCAGGAGGTGGCTTCTGCATTGTCTTAAAGAAGAGAGGCTCACCATGAAGAAATGGAGGGTAAACTATTTCCCAGTAGAGAAAACTCATACAAAGTACAAAATGATAAAAAATATATTGTTTATATATTTTGATTTTGAATAGTTTGATTGGGTAACAAAATGTTAAGATCTAGATGTTAAGACTAGAAATCTCCAAAGATTTTTTTTTTTTTTTTTTTTTTGGTTTTTCGAGACAGGGTTTCTCTGTGGTTTTGGAGCCTGTCCTGGAACTAGCTCTTGTAGACCAGGCTGGTCTCGAACTCACAGAGATCCGCCTGCCTCTGCCTCCCGAGTGCTGGGATTAAAGGCGTGCGCCACCACCGCAATGACTCAAAATTTTCCAAACACACCCACAACCACCAGTTTAAAGATCCTTCCATTGGCAAGCAAAGAATGTTACTTCTACAATGGACAAGAGGTGAAGGATTTAAAAGTTAAGAGGCAAATGGTGAGTAAAATCCCCTTTTCATAGCCATAATGTTTCAGATTCAGAGTAGAATTAAATCTTAATTTTTAAAAAGACATGGTTAGAACCAGAAACAGTGAAGACCTTCAGGTCATAGCACTCTAGGAGGCTAAGACAGAAGGATCAGGAGACTGAGGCCAGCTTGGGCTGTATATGATCCTGTCTCAAGAGACACAGTGAGTTAATTTTCTATAACTAAGGAGTTTTATTGTACACTGGCTATGATGATGATGTTTCATATCAGTACCTACAAAACATCACTAGAGTTAAGTTATAAACATCATAATGCTTATATAATACCGGTTGAAAAGCTTCACCTCTTCTATACTGCTACCCTGGGCATCTCTGAAGAAGTCAGATCTAACTTAAGGTGACAAGTAATTCTGTGCAAAATGAATCAAATGTAAAAAAGTTGTGACATGTAAAAAAAATTTAAAAAAAAATAAATTGTGCTTTATGTGTTCTAAAATAAAGGAGACAAACAGATGATGTATGCTAACGATTAAACCAACCATCTATATCTGAATATAGATATAGAAATATATACACATATATATATGTTACAAACATATGTATATAAAGATATATAGTCATAGTCAAAATATACAAAAACAGAAACGGTTTTCAGAAAAAGATATCTCTTCTAATGAAAAGAAACAAAGGGAAACCATGACTAAGATTTTAATTCTCTAGTTCTAACAATTTTATTTACTGTAAAACATCTATTTCTTTTAGCTATTTTAGGAGATTGACTTTTTTCCCTTAAAAATCTTTCTTATGCCTTATTTTTCTACCATTTACCAGGCAGAAGCCATTTCATACCCATATCTATTAACTAACAGTCGATAGGGAAGATCTTTAATTACACATACAACATTATGTGTTAGATGCCGGGCACACTGTAACCCGATAAATGTTAACTGTGACAGTGGTAGTGGTGATCTTTTCTCTGCTCTCATGGCAATTTTAATACACTGTTATTACTAATTCTTGTATCATAACCAGAAACTCAGAAATGTGCTCCCACTAAGTTGTAAGTTTTTATTCAGCAGGAAAATACTCATCAAATGCTTACAATTCACGACTGAAGGCCAAGACAAGTATGATTTACTCTATTAATCAATTTTTGTTGTTGTTGTTGTGTACCCCCTGCTCTGCTTTCCATCAGCAGCTGTCTTAGGAGACTGAATCTTGGAAGACTGTTCTGTAGACGGATGGACAGTTTATACCTTCAGGTCCATGAATGCTTTGGGAGTCTATGAATGTCTGGAATCCTACTGCCAAAATTGGATGCGTTCATACATGTTATGTAAAGGGAAGTAGGGGGTTTGTAGACTACAATAAACCTTCAAAGCAGCCCAGTTAATCACAGATCATTATCAATCAGTTTAAACAGCATCCTGTATCCAAGGACATTCACCTACAAAATACTTAACTGGAATGAAAAGTAAAGTCTTCGACTGGAAAAAAAAAATGTATTTGTCACACGTCAAGATAACCTGTGATCACAAGTTAATAAATATAACTACTACCAAATCAAACGGATTCAGTCACTTCTCACAAATGTAGTTTTCCAAACTATTTGCAATTTTAATCCATTCCAGGAAAGTCTTTTTAAGTTTTTTAATCTCTACCCTTGCCCCTGTACACTATTCTCCGCAGAGAAAATGATCTAATAAATACATACATAAATTAAAAGAAAGACAGATAGAACATGTCATCCCCATTTGATCAAAACTTTGCAGTGACTATGTCTTACTCAGAGGAGATAAACTTTACCCTACCCTACAATACTTCTCTAATTTGTCTTCCCACACCTTCTCACTCTACTTCTGGTGATCCCAGCTTCTCTGCCTTTCCTGTAAACAGCAAACATATTATAATGATGCTAACAAATCCAAATAATAAGTAAAACATTAAAAATTATAAATGATCAAATATGGGATCATAGACTACATTTTTCTCCTTTCATTTATTAGCAAGACAGCTACCAGCTTAGCATTCAGCAATATTCCACTGATAAACTTAAAACCTGAAATTCTTCACAACGGAAGACAGGTAAAACTGTGGTCCAGAAATACACATAACCACTACTTAAGTAACTACACATAAGCTAGTTGGAGCCTGAGTTCACCTAAGATAGCATGAGATATCTCAAAAGATATTTCATTTAAAAAACGAAACATACCGGGCGGTGGTGGCGCACGCCTTTAATCCCAGCACTCGGGAAGCAGAGGCAGGAGGATCTCTGTGAGTTCGAGGCCAGACTGGTCTACAAGAGCTAGTTCCAGGACAGGCTGCAAAGCTACAGAGAAACCCTGTCTCGAAAAACCAAAAGAAAAAGAAAAAAGAAAAATAAATAAACGAAACATGCTGATTCCAGTAACTCTAATTAATTAAACTCAATAAACATACAGACCATGGAAGTAGGTAGTGAACTTGCTTGTTGGGAAGAAAGGGTTCAGCGGGAGTGGGGAGGCTAAAAGAGGGTCATGGGTGGTTTATATGATCAAAACGCAGTATATGAATGTATAAAATTGTCAAGAAAAAAAAACCCAAAATATATACGAACAAAGCAAACATGCTACCCGAGAACAAGAAGCAATGAAGACGTTCCATCTCAATTTATTTATTCTCTGACTCAACAAAAATGACAATACCGCTACAGCCTGCCGAAGATAACTCCCGAATGATAAATGAAAAGTATTATAGGCTAAAAATTCAAACATTAATACGAAGACTTGGGGTTTTCTGTCCGGGGATCCGTACCTTATTCCACTTCTCTCTTCCCAAAAGCTATCCCTTCACCCCGATAACGCCCCAGCATCGTGGTAGATAAGGCCAAAACTGCTTCTAACGCTTCCGTTTCGACTCTTTTAACGAGACTCGTCAGAATACGGAAAAACTTAGACAACTTTTCGTCAAATTAGAGCCTTACGTTGTCCAGAAGCCACTCAAAAGGACTTGCGAGACCTCATAAAAGGGTGTGAAGCTGACCTCGGCGAGCTATAAAGCCCCAGTAGAATAAATTACCTCGGATATCGACCGCCGCCATAATTCCAAACGCGCTCGTAGAGCTTCCTTCCGGCGCACCGTAACGGTAATGAGTGCCGCGACGGAAGCAGCGGGTTGACGACCGTACGGGAAGCAAGGAGGGCAAATTTATTCTCTCGAGCGTGGGGACGGGTGTGGGAGGGAGTAGGAGCTAGTGAAAGGAGCCGAATTAAAGTTTTGCTATTGGACACCTACGAAGAGGAGAAAAGCGAAGCAACCGGTGGCGACAGAGAGATGGAAGAGGTGGGGCCCACAGAAGAGAGCCAGGAAGAAGGGAAGGGCAGGACCTGTAGACCCTAGTAGATCCTTACTAGAGAACGGAGGAGGGTAGCGTTGCAGTGCCTGCCAAGCTGGAACCCGCTGAGTCTGGAGGGACAGAAAGACGAGGAAAAACAAAAAAGTAGGCAAAGCGTCAGGACAGAACAGCGGGGAAAGTAATTCTATTAAGACATAAAGAGATTGAACAGAGTCCCGCCTCATGCACACCGCTGATATTCTAAAATTCTCCTGTAAACCGAGTCTAAGAGCCAAGTGGATAGCAAATTTGGAGCCAGCTTGGATTACATAGACAGTATTTTCAAAATAATAAAAACACCTCATGTGTATATAAACAAGCCGTTATTTAACAAAGAATTCAAAAGTCTTTGGCTTGCCTTTTTGGTTGAGCCCATTAAAAACCTAAACCAAGCCGGGCGGTGGTGGCGCATGCCTTTAATCCCAGCACTCGGGAGGCAGAGGCAGGCGGATCTCTGTGAGTTCGAGACCAGCCTGGTCTACAAAGTTAGTTCCAGGACAGGCTCCAAAGCCACAGAGAAACCCTGTCTCGAAAAACCAAAAAAAAAAAAACCTAAACCAATGAAAAACCTGAATTAATTTATGACTAAATTTTGCAAAATAGGAAGTGCTTCTGAGGTAAACTATTAAGAAGATTAAGGGAAAAGGAATGCCCCGAGTAGTGTCTGCTTTCCAGGTGGTCTGAAACAGGCAGGGAACAATTCTGTGTTGTGGAGACAGCATGGAAAACAATAGAAGGACTTTCTGTGTCTAATGTGACTTTGTAAAAGCAAAATGACGGAGATGCCTGCAAACAAGACAGACTCCCAAAATCTGAAGGAAGGAGCCTATATTTTCAAAACTAAGTACTACCAAGCTCCCACTCCCAGCATTTAACCATAACCAACAAGTAAGCCGGGGGGCTACTCATTTAATTGGGATTTTTCCACTTATAGACCAAAAAATAGCCCATTTTAAATCTCAGTGTAATAAAAGCATATTTCTTGTTCGCTTCCATTTTTTTTTTTCCAAGACAGGGTTTCATGGAGCCAGTCCTGGAAATAGCTCTTGTAGACCAGGCTAGCCTCGAATTCACAGAGATCCGCCTGCCTCTGCCTGGGATTAAAGGCGTGCGCCACCACTGCCCAACTCACTTCCATTTTTGAACTTGGAGTTTATCTGTGAAATGATGTGGAGGAAATTTCACTGATCTTGTTTCCTTGTGTCCTTCGAAGCAGATTAGGAGAAGCTGTGACAAAACACTGGGGAAGGTGGTAAACCAGATTCAATCAGACTCAGGAAGACCACTGGGTTTTGCAGACACTGGAAGAAATGTGATTGAACTTCCAGCTTAGAAAGATGCTTTAAAGAGGGTGAGTTAGAAGTGTTCTAAGACTCAAATCAGGGAATCTATTTAGGAGGTCATTGGAAACCAAAAGAGAGTGACTCCCGCAACCCAGTAGAACTGGCCCTGGAGGTGTATGTGTGGGCATGAAAGCAGGAGAACCGGCCCCACCCCTTCCTGCTTGCTGCTCCAGCCTAGGCAGTGCTGGAGAGCTCACCCTGGTGGTAAGGACTGGTAGTGAGGACAGAGCTGGTGGGCTGCCAGAACCAGGGCTATGAGGTGGCCACCCCATCACCCATTCCATCTATGATCTGATGGAGCATGTGAAGGGACCAGTCGTGCAGACCCAAAACTTCAGAATCACCACAACACAGGACAATAACAGGATATCCAAGAGGAGTCCCAGTGAGGGCCCAGCATCAATGGTGTAGCAGAATCCAGAGGCCTCAAACCAGACCATGATTCATAGCAATGAGCACTTGCAAGTAAAGATACACACACAGACTAACGTATATACTGTGTGATTCACTGTGTCACACTACAGCTTCTATGGGGAGATTTTCTTTTTTTTTTTTAACTTTTACTTCATCTTATTTGGGTGGGGTTTAGGGGCAAAGGGTGGGTGTGAGAGGAGAGGAAGATGGGTAGGTTCGAGATGCATGCTGTGAGAGCCACAAGGAAAAAAGGAAAAGAGAAAAAAAAAAACTCCTAAGATCTCTCCTGACCAGAGAACAATGCAGAACACACAACAAAAGCTCCCTTTAGGCTAATGTTCTAAAGAAAAAGGAAGACACATGGCTGTGTTCCATACGATATCCTTGAGAAAATGTTCTAGAAAGCCTGAAGTCTGTGTGAGATGTTTTTTCCTATTATGAGGAGGAATTTCAGGTATTTCGTAATATAAATGAAGACATGAAATAACCTCAGGATTGTAGCGGCAACACCTCTGAAAAGTCGTTCTGAAATCTCTGGGAGGGGGTCCAGTGACTCAGGGAGAGACCAGGTATCAAGATGGTTTGTGTGTTCCCAGAACATTCATCACTCATACACGCCATGCAGTACAGGACATTACTTCTGGAAAGAGCTGTTCACCTAGAGGCGGGAGCTGTAACTGTGAAATAATCCAGTCACTAGAGCTTTAACCTGTAACCCTACAATCCCAAATAAAATAAACCCAGTCCAGCCAGGCGGTGGTGGCGCACGCCTTTAATCCCAGCACTTGGGAGGCAGAGGCAGACGGATCTCTGTGAGTTCAAGACCAGCCTGGTCTACAAGAGCTAGTTCCAGGACAGGCTTCAAAACCACACAGAAACCCTGTCTCGAAAAACAAAACAAAATAAAATAAAATAATCCCAGTCCAGAAGGAACAGAATCACCGGCACCTAATGGGTGTCATTATTCTTCTCACTACAGAACATTCATCAGATATCTGTGAGGTTGGACGGCACTAAACTTCCAAGACCCCCATGAGGCAACTAAAAGCACCAGCAATGGCAAACTCGGTATTCAGAATCCCACACCACAGTAGACAATCCCAAACCACCATCCTGTTCCTTGCGATCAAGGTCTCTGGGTTGTGTAACTGAGTTTGGAGTTAGGGAGTGTCCTACTCATCTGTCAAGCGGGAGTCCAAAGTCAAATAGCTGTGTGTCAAGTGACAATCGCAGGAGGTAGCAATAACATGCAAACCTACAATAAACCCTTCTTAAGAACCTGTGAGTAGATGATTAGGCAGTTTTCTAAATAAGACTATCAAGGAGGGGGATGTAGTTCATGAAAAGTTTTTACAGCCCGATAAACCTCTCTGCCGACAATGCAATAATCCAGATCACACCAAATCAAACTGAATTAGAAAAAGCCCAGGTTTAATGAATGCCAGTGCTCCTGAGTGGGCTTCCAGTCCCCCAGCAAGGAGACGTGAAGAAAGACCAGAAACCACGTGTTTGTTCTCTGGGTTGCTGTTTAAATACCCTGTGGGAGTGGTCTTGAGTATCTCTGAGGAGGGGGTCATCATTTGGCAGGCTTTCTTGGGGGTGGAGTCTGGACTGAGGCAACTCCCAGTGGAGGGGCTTGGGATGGAACTTTCTACCCAAACATTCCAGACTTTTTTGGTTTTAGGGGTGCCAGGGGCTTGGTTGAAGCCTTAACCCAAACAGTTCAGTGGTAGGTGCTTCCCCTAGCATGGGCAAGACCCTGGGGTGCATCTCTAGCATTCGAAAGAAGTTGTAGCTAGGTGTGGTGGCTCACATTTGTAATCCCAGCACTTGTGAGACAGAGGCAGGAAGATCACTGCAAGTTCGAGGCCAGTCTGCTCTAGAGAGTGAGTTCTGGCCCAGCCAGGGCTACATACTGAGATACTATTTCAAAACCTCCCTTCCAAAAAAACTCCCTAGATTTAATTAATAATACATTTAATTGATCCTAATATTCTTATTGTCATTTTAACCTGGGTCTTATCTACATGTGGGTCTCACTGTTAGTCATATTTATTTCATCTTTTTCATGATTAAAATCACCAAAGATTTATCTAATTTGATTATATTTCTTTAAAAAAATCAATTCTTACCTTAGTGAATTCTAGTGTGGTTGTTTTTTCTCTTTCATTTATTTCTGCTCTTAATCCTGTTCTTTCTAATTCTTGTGACTTTTCCCCCTAATTTTAAAAAAATCAAAATTATCTCATTATTGCTCTTTTAATCATTTATTGCTGTAACTTTTCCTTAAGGAAACACTTTGTTATATACCTTGAGTTTGGTGCAGTGTTTCCCTTTTCATTTTATTTTGAGTGGTTTTTTTTTTTTTTGTTTAAGTCTTGACTCATTTTTTTAACCCTGAGTTTTTAAAAGAAAAAAAAACTTGTGTTTTTTAAAAATTTACAAATGTATGTAATTTTTAGTTTTATCTTTTTGTTATTCTACTTGCCTTGCTCTCAGAAAATATTTTCTGTGCAATACCTATCCTTAATATTCGCTAACTTTGCTTTGCCTCCTATGTGATTATGTTACAACTGTGTTTTGAAATAAGATTTTGCTGTATAGCTCAGGCTTGCTGTGTGGACCAGATTGACATGGCACTGGCTCAGCCCCCTCACTGCTGTATGGTGACGCCATCCCTGAGACATCTAAACTTCAGTGAGTACCATTCTCCTCTTCCTGCCATGACACATGCAGTCCAGTCCATGAGAGCAAACGTGTATGTGGGTGAGTAAGCGGGCGCGCATACACACGAGCACACAGGAAGAAACCACGAACATTTGCCTAGAATGTTCTACTCGTGTGTCAGCAAGAGTAAAACAAAGGACCAAAGTTAAAACAAAAAGGTTTACAGGTCTGCAGATGCTGACTGAAATAAATGTAACTTTAGTCAGAGAAGACTACGTGGGTAGGGAGAAAGCAGGAAACAGCGTCTGGGGACAGATGCTCCCCCTAGCAACTCTCCAGTGATATGTGAGAAAATTATAGTATGCTCATTCCCACCACTTCTTAGTAGTGGAAATGCCCAGGCATTCCCATTTTCCTGTTACTTTCTCTGGCTTGGTTGCCCGGTAACTCTGGCCCACCTTCCTAGTAATTGCATTTTACACCCTCCAGTCACCACCTCCTGCTGAGTTTCCTGCAGTTCAGATTTTTTATTTCTAAAC